TTTTAGCCAAGCGCCAGACAGGGTAACAACAAGTACCACCTTTTAACGTCTTTTGGTGAGATGCGGCTTGGGATCGAACTCGGGTTCTTCCGATCCCCAGGCGGATGCTCTACCACTAGACCACGGAGGCGGTCTGATCGGATAGTGGTGCATGGAGGTGGTCAGGTGCATGGAGGTAGTCAGCTGCGAGCAGCTATCCTTCTTCTGCATCTTCAAAGACAACCTTGTACACCCCTTCAACAATGATTTATAGCCACTGGCTTTGTGGTGGTGATCACATTAGCTTAACTTTCTCAGATAGGACACCTTTGATGAGGTTGATAGCAGATTCTTCTTAGGGTCAGAAGATACAGCAGTAGACTTCTTATTCAGTTAGTTGAGACCTTGAAAAGGGTGTGAACACTGCTGCTGCCCAGGGAAGAAACTAAAGGATGACGGGTAGAAGTTGCGGGTGAGGAAGATCTAAGAGAACTTCATCTCTGAAGTCAGACTCCCTTCTCTTCAGCTGAAGAAAGTGTAGGTGTAGTGTCAACCTTTTTCTTCTTCATTGAAGTCTTCTCTGATGAAGATAATTCCCTCCTCTTATGTCCATCTTCTTCCTCTGTACTGCAAACAGGTACTGTGAAAAATCTTGTTCCCCTAAAGGGGCACAGAAACTACTTAGTAAAATCTAAATATTTTTTACATTATATACTTATTGTGCAGTACTCCTTAATGCATATGATATACTGCAAAAAATGAAGCTGTGTGAGGTCCAGCTGAAAAAGAGGTTGTTCCAACCTGTCTCATATCTGCACATTACTGCTTGAAATCTGAATAATCGTATCATAAGACGAATAAAGGATAGAAGATTGTAATCCATGTCAAAACAATTATGAAAAAGGATTAATTTTTATAGGATGGCTCAGATTACAAAGCTCAGGACATTTTCCCCAATCACTCAGTTGCTGCGAAAATGAGAGAATGACAAGTATACTGATCATGTGTTTCTAGTGTGCATGTGCCATCCAGGGGTGTGTTAAGGTGGGCTGTTTTACTGTTCTCTAAGAACACAGTTCATGAAGTTTCCACTACTAAGCAATCAGTTTGAGTCGGGATAAGTTAAAATATACTGTTTTTTTACAAAAACATGCACTCACCAAAACTAACACACATATTACATGATGACATGAGTGTTAAAATAGTAAAACCTGGTAAAATCCTATATATTTCTTTATATTTGTATACTTATCCTGCATTACTCCTTAATATTGCTGCTTGTTCTCGACAGAGAAAAGAGCTGTGTGAAGATCTTTGCTTGAAGAAGTTGTTCCAATTAGCTGAGAGGCCAACCCGGTCACTCGTACAGCTCCCACGTGACCAAAGGAAGTGACATCACGGATCCTCACATTACTCTGGAGTCCAGAACACCGGAAGGCATCGTCGGGAGGTAGCTCTGCGATGGGTGTGTCTCTTTAGACACAGTAATGCAGGATAAGTATACAAACATAAAAAATATCTGGGATTTTACTAGATTTTTTACTTATCCTGCATTACTTCTGAATGCATCTGTTTTCCCAGACTCTGTTCCCTAGCCAGATTTTTCACAGTACACTAGCCAATCCTTGGCTGTGTGGTCGGCTTCAGGTGACCACTCCATGTTTGGGAACCTCCATTTCCCTCAGCCTGTCATCGGCTGTGTGGTCGGCTTCAGGTGACCACTCCATGTATGGGAACCTCCTTTTCGATCAGCCTGTCTTGTGGTTGGCATCAATGACCATTACATGGAAGGGTATGCGTTGTGTCCTGGTACTACGCAATGATAAGTTAAGGCCCTAGACTGGAGTACCAAGGCCACGGGAGGTCGAAAGGCCGGCTCTGGACTGGAGGCGAAGTCAGTGATGTTTAGTAGTGATGACCTGTTGGACCACTACTAACAGACCAAAGCTGTGCTTGCCTTGCACATCCTCCAATGCGCCGTCTCGCAAGTAGTGACTAGCGATGACTGTGTTAGATCACCAGAAACACCCCTCTATGATGGCACGTAGAGAGCAGTTGCTGTGTAGTGCCATGGTGGGTTGTTGGAGCGTGGAGGGTCCAATCCCGCGGCCTTGTAGGCCTGGAGAATGATGGCTCATAGCGAAGGGGCGATCGTGTTGCGGCTGACTTCCGCTCGCTCGAGATAATGGTATGAACAGGCATCGTCGTTGTCTACGGCGTTCCTTGGATCATCTGATGTAGCAACGGTGCACATAGACGGAGCTCTTGTTCATCTTCCGCGCCCACAATCGATGATAGGGGAGGGATGAGAATTGATCTATCTGGCTGTCCTGGGAGCTGATTCTTTGCAATGAAGTTCTAGCACAGGCCCAGATGCACCACGTGACATCCAAGGCGTGTAGCTCATTGACACGGGCTGCTGTTGTTGAGCCAGTCGGAAGACCGTCTATTCATCAGATTGTAGATCTTCCAGAACTGCCAGGCCAGAGTTAAGTGCCACAAGCTTACGCTTACCCTTGAGCTTACGCTTGTGGCAAAGATAGAGCATGAACTCGGCCAGGAATTTAGGTGATGCAGTTGTGGGGCCCTCGTGTTTGACCCTGCAAAAGCTCTTGAAGGATTGCCACTTGTCATCATAGAGGCTCCTGGTGGTCGGGTGATGCGCCATCGTGATGGCTCTAGCCGCTCTGGCCGAGTAGCCTTTGGCGTTCAGTGGTCTCTGTAAATGGACCAGACGTGAAGATATAACTTGTCTGGTCATGGGTGTGGCTGTCTGCTGTGAGGATGGATCAGCAGGTTTGGCCAATCTGGGAGTGGCAGTGGGTTGGCGTCGGATAGCTCTCTGAGGTCGACGAACCAAGCCCTCGCCAGCCACCAGGGCGTGACCAAAGTCAGATCAAGCTTCCGTGTCGATCTGATCTTTAGGACGACCTTGGGAATGGTGTACAGGTGGTGGAAAAGAGTACGCTCTTAGTCCTTCCCAGGGGATGTTGAAAGCAACGACTGCCCAATCCAGGGGATCCATGACCGGCGATATGTAGGTCGGAATCTGGTAGTTCTGGCTGGTGGTAATAGGGCCATGTTGTGGAGACCGTGGTCTCGACGAACAAGAGCGAAGGCGTCTGGGTGAAGCTTCCGCTCTGCGGGAGCGACTTTGCCTTGCCAAATAGAGCATCTGCTAGGATGTTTCAGCAGCCCTGAATGTGTTGAAACTGGAACTGAATCCCCAGATGATTGACTAGGTGAAACAATCGGAACGTTTGTTGAAGGAGTGAGGTCGAATGAGTCGTTCCTTGGTTCCGTAGGCACCATACGACGGTTATGTTGTCCATCGAGATGGAGAGCTGGGCGTGTCTGAGGGCCTGCTTCCAGTGAGCAATGGCCAAGATAAGCGCCTCCAGTTCGAGGTTGTTGATGTGCCATAGGCGCTGATCGGCAGACCACAGCCCCGAGGTGACCTGTCCCTCCATCATTGCAGGGGCGCGTCTACAAATAGGCGCAGAGAGGTTGTAAGTCCTGTCAAGGAGACGCTGCCTAAGACATTCGATTCCACCGTCCACCACCGGAGATGCTGCTTGAGATGATCCGGGAGGACGATGGATACTGAGGGGTCCTGGCGCCTGAAGTAGGGAGCCAGGAACATCTGAACTGGGCACAGTTTGAGCCTTCCTCTGTAGGTCCTGCGCTGAGGTTAGGAACCCCAGGAGGACTTGCCATTGGCGCAACGTGCGTGGTAGGTGGAGAGCTGGAGTCAGGTGCGCCTGCATGCACTCCCACGGGTCTCTGGGTACAGGGAATAGAGATCGAGGTCCGTCTGGAAGAGGCCCCCGATGAACTGAAGGCGATTTGAGGGTGTCAACTCCAATAGGTACAGGAGCCAGAGGGTGAAGTCCCTTTTCTCGAAGTAGAGTGACGGTGTCCCAATGATTCAGGAGACAGTTGTCTATGTATGCCTTGAACTGAATGTCCTGGAGATGGAGGTACGAGGCTATCAGCTTGGTAAGCCGTGTGAGTAGCCATGGTGCCGAAGAAAAACCAAATGGGGGAACCGCCCATTGGTAATGGACCCGGTTGTCGGGATGTAAAGGGACATGTCAATAGGCATCCTCGATATCCAGGCTGATGAATACATCCTGTGCCTCGATCCGGGATCACAGCAGCCTGAGCGTTGTCATCCTGAAATAAGGTGGATGCGCCAGGTAGCGTTTGTTGAAAGCGGCGAGGTTGTGGATCATCCTGTGTTTGAGTCCTTCTTGGGGACTGCATGGGTTTATAAAACAATTATTACGACAAACGTAACACAACATACAAAACGAAGACAAAATACTTGCGAGGGTACGCCAATGGTGGGGTACAAAGCAAGAAGAATAAAGAACGCAAGCCAGTGAAATAAATGTCCACATAAAATATTCAAGATGGCTACTTGAAACAACAAGACACCTGGGTTTACCATTGTTTTCATTTTTAAGAAAACGCCAGCAGGTGTACAAAAGTTATACACATGTTAAAACATACCATGTTTCACAAGATGCAAAACGTATGCACAACACAAGCACAATGAACATTAACTCAAAAAGCAAAACACGTAAGGGTTTGAACAGGTTTATGCTACAGATCAAAAGCAGGTCTTCTCTCAGCAAGTGACAAGAGTAATGTGAGTATCCTTGACGTCAATTCCTTTGGTAAAATTGGAGCTGCATGATAGGGTTGGCCTCTCAGCTAGTTGGAACAACTTCTTCAAGCAAAGACCTTCACACAGCTCTTTTCTCTGTCAAGAACAAGCAGTAATATGCATTAATACGTAATGCAGGATAAGTAAAAAAATATAAGCTATATATACAATCTTTGATTTGAGTATTGAGTCAATCAAGTATCTAATGTGAAGTAAACATTTATTGCAGAACTTTCTTTATTACAAACTATTCTGCTGTTCTGTGTTGTGAAGGACAAAAGGTATTTTTTCTTTGTGCAGCTACTTCAACTCAAACAATTTTTTTAAATGATTCAAACCAGGTACCTACTGCCTATACTGTTGTTGATAGCCTCTTGAGACTTTTGGATGCCAAGGCGAAATTCCTGAAGTTCTGGTCTCAACTTGTTACCACGGTGATAAAAAACAAGAGCCGTCTCGAAATCTCCTTTCTGATACAGCGCTTCTGCTTTCATGCACAATGCCTGTAAGAAAAGGAACATATTGAAATCTACAGGTGTAAATGAATGAAAATTGTTTAGCATGACAGTCAGACATGTTCAAGCTATATCATGGCAGCCTGTAAATAATTGAGTCTGGACCAGGCAAACAAGTGACTGGGAGCATAAGCAACATTTCACGGAAAGTCAAGATATTCTCAGAATGTTTTCTAAAATTTTTGTTTACCTAAACCCATGCAAGTATTCAACTTTCTCCTGGTTGTGTCCTCAGTGTGTAAACAAATAAGAGACTTATCTAATATCATCTAGATTGGGATTTTAATTGGGATACTTGAATCTTTTGCAAACGGCGCATTGGATTACATAAGTTTTAGGCCTAACTTGTATCAGATGTACACAGGGATTTACCGAACACGAAATCCTGCATCTCAAATGCATGAAAACTTAAAAAGGAGTGCATCCACTGGGATGCAGAAAATCTGTGTGCATGTTTCAGAATAAATGCTGCTATTTCCAAATTTGCCACCACTTTAAAAAAAATATTTCCTGTACATAATCATTTAAACATTCACTAAACAATGAAGGTTACATGATGTTCTAGTGCTTGCACTTGTTGTTTCAGTTGAGGAATTTGATATCTATTATTAAGTAATGGCCTCTGAAGATGCACAATTTTATGTCACTTGTACTGTTTCTGTATTGATTGGGGTGAAGTGTGTGCTTCAAAACAAGGCATAACAAGATTTGCGAATATTTATTGGCTGGGAAAGTTTCAGTATGCCTTCAAACATGAGTAAAAACAAAATATGAAATTACACATTAAATCAGATAAAAAGTAGATTTGTTTTTACTCATAAAACCAGACGTCAAGATCTGCTCCAGAAACGACATCTTGCACAGATAGATGTACGGTACCCATTTTAATGCAGCCCGCAAAGTGTATTGCGGGGGCAAAAAAGATTTTTGCCCCCGCAACACACTTTGCGCGCTGTATTGCGCAATATTTCTTCACCAAACTTGGTACATTGATAGGTCTAGTGGTGAACCGGTTCCTTTTGATACTTTGGGATTATTTAACAAGCGTCATCAGAAGATGACAAATCCCCCCGGACCCCACAAATTCGAAAGAACAAATCATCCAACTTGATCAGAGAATTTATATTTCTAATCTGTCTGTCTGTATACAAGGGTAGTTATTTGGCGTAGTTATTTGGCTTTCAAAACAATACCAAGGAATTGGGATTCCCAACTTTGTATTTCTATGTCAGGTACCCACCACTTTGAACAGAGTCAAAATCAAACAGGGAAAAATCAAATTCTAAATATCGAAACGCATCACTTCAGCCTTTGGTTAATACATGTACCAGATTTGGATGAAAAGGCTTCCATAGGTTTCAAGTTATGTTCCGGAAACAACACCTACCCCACCCTTTTGAGACTATAAGATCAAATTGTTACCATGGAAATTGAAAAAAATAAAAATGCCAAAATCTGCAAATAGCAAAAGGCACCACTTCAGGATCTGTTTGATATATATATCTGCCAAGTTTTGTTGAAAGATATTAAACGTTTTTTTGAGTTGTACTGTCATAGTGGGGAAACTTGCTTAATAATTCATATTAAAATATAAAAATAATATTCAAAAGTTATAAAATACATATAAAATACATATAAAACTAGAAAGTGTTTTTACTCGTAAAAACATATGTCTCCCCCCACTCCCCTAACCCCCATTCATTCGTTTACTTCACGTTAAACCCCATCTCTTCATTCCCACCCTCCATTACTAAATAACAGAGACAAAAATAGAACTCCTAGAAATTTCAAACAACTAATGGGCACCACTTCAGCATCTAATCAACACCACTAATCCCTCAATCATTTACCCACCTGACAGTGTAGTCATCTAAGTAGCACAGTTTTCTTGTTACTGAAGTATTTGTAGAAAATCCACTTAAAGTACTAATAGAGTTTGGACACAAATATATTAATATCCCCAACATATCAGAAATGATGTAGCAATGTTATATGGCACAAAGGAAAGTCTCTGTGATGTAATTGCCCGTGTATCTGACTCTGCAGGTCTTCTACACAATGACATATGTGATGTCATGGAAACTGTAATAGCAAAAGGCACCACTTCAGTGCTGGGTTTATGTGTATACAAAGTTTCGCGAAAAAATATTAAACGGTTTCTGAGTTATGGTCAGGAAACAAAGCTTACCCCCATTCAGAGTCTATGTTCAACTTATCTCCATGGAAACGAGAAAAAATAAAAATGTCAAAAATCTCTAAATAGCAAAAGGCACCACTTCAGTGCTGGGTTAATGTGTATACAAAGTTTCGCGAAAAAATATTAAACAGTTTCTGAGTTATGGTCAGGAAACAAAGCTTACCCCCATTCAGAGTCTATGTTCAACTTATCTCCATGGAAACGAGAAAAAATAAAAATGTCAAAAATCTCTAAATAGCAAAAGGCACCACTTCAGTGCTGGGTTAATGTGTATACAAAGTTTCGCGAAAAAATATTAAACGGTTTCCGAGTTATGGTCCGGTAACCAAGCTTACCCCAATTCAGAGCCTATGTTCAACTTATCTCCATGGAAACGAGAAAAAATAAAAATGTCAAAAATCTCGAAATAGCAAAAGGCACCACTTCAGTTCTGGGTTAATGTGTATACAAAGTTTCGCGAAAAAATATTAAACGGTTTCTGAGTTATGGTCAGGAAACAAAGCTTACCCCCATTCAGAGTCTATGTTCAACTTATCTCCATGGAAACGAGAAAAAATAAAAATGTCAAAAATCTCTAAATAGCAAAAGGCACCACTTCAGTGCTGGGTTAATGTGTATACAAAGTTTCGCGAAAAAATATTAAACGGTTTCCGAGTTATGGTCCGGAAACCAAGCTTACCCCCATTCAGAGCCTATGTTCAACTTATCTCCATGGAAACGAGAAAAAATAAAAATGTCAAAAATCTCTAAATAGCAAAAGGCACCACTTCAGTGCTGGGTTAATGTGTATACAAAGTTTCGCGAAAAAATATTAAACGGTTTCTGAGTTATGGTCCGGAAACGGTGGGAACGCCGACGCCGACGGGAACCGTGCCAAAAACAATATGTCTCCCTCCATTCTGGGGGAGACATAATACACTACCATATCTTTACAGTCAAACCTCAGACATCCCACATAAATGGTAGTCACTCACTTAGGTTGAAAAACCATGCCGCAAGACATAATTTAGACAATAGATGCCTGTTCTCATTACAGTCCCCGGCTGCGTGTCAATTCCAGATTGACACGCCGACCAATAATGGTAATCCCCTTGACAAGTCGGCGGTCAGTCTAAAATGCTGCCGGCTGAACTAAACGCCAGCCTTTGTTGTTTGTTTACCTTTATCCACTATAGGTAGACATTAGTTAGGTGACCTATGGGAATATTGTATCAACCCGAAACAACACATGAAATAACAAAGTAACTAATGGTGACAATAAATTAAAATAATGTCTTCAAAACCTAACCAATCAGAGATTGCTATGCATCCCTCCACTATATAAGTAGGTGCAATTAGTCACACTGCACCCGAATAAATCTTGGAATGCAAGCAACTCTAATGTCATCATTTAGTTTCAATTCTTCCATTCTATTTTAAGGTAAGACATTTTCATGCATTGTTTCAATGGTTGTTTTCAAATAGGTGGAATGTATTTCATGATAATTGTTTTAGATTTCTTGTCATCTGGTGTTAGAATCTGGCTGGAGTAACTCTTGAGCTTACTCCTGATCCATTTACCTCTCTATATGCCTACCATCCTCAAGAACAATTATCAACTCAAGCCATGAAGAGCAAAGAAACAAGATTGAAGAAAACAACAAGAATCTCTCCAATGCCAACCTTCCCTGGTCGAATATCTTAGCAACACTGCTAAGACTTCCCCTTCAAGATTTCGTTCCAGTACAGGAAAAAAAAAAAAAGTATACACGCCTATCCCACAGAGATCCGACCACAGCCATCATCATGCAGACCCTGCACAATATGGAAACTGCCTCACAGGCACCTACAAAATGGACACTGTGTACAAGATATCTCATTGGGACTTACTAATTTGTGTGTAATTGCATGGACTCAATCCAGGATACATGTGTGACTGTTTATAAGTGCAACCAGGTATGTTTGATCAAAGCCAGTATATGAATGCCAAAATGTGTCTTTCCAAAATTCATTTTTGTATATGTGCAATACACTCCAATTTGCATCTTTAGTCAAGCTTGATCTTTGAAGTTATTGTGCAGGGAATCTTTGAAATGTCTCTAGGCCACGCCAGACATATAGATACAGCTAGGGCCCAGACAAACCTAAGCTGTAGGGTTATCGAGTCACACCTTAAAGCTAGACTTGTAATTTCAATAATCTAAATGACAACATTTGTCATTTGTTACAAGTTACAAAATTGAATGTGTTGTCTACAACTTTGAATTCAGATTAGGGATATTCTTGGGTAAGCCACCCCACAACATATGTATATTGTATGTTGTATTAAGTAATTAACAGCAAAGCAGTATTCAGAATTTCAGAGTTTTGATGTCGGAATTAAGTATTATTATTTTTCTTGGGCATAGCACCCACAATATATGGGCAAGCTCCGTCAAAGATACGGGAAGAGCATCCATTGTACCAAAAAGGGCGAAAGTACACAAAAGTACTGTTTGAGTTGCGCGATAAGGTTAGACTCATGGTTTAAAATTTCTTTATGGGAAATATTTTTTGAGATGTTGAACTTGTACCTTTTATGACATTAATAATTATCATTATTATTAACTGGTACTGAGTCTCACCTGTAAGCCAGACTCCTGCATTCAAAGAACCTTCAGTGAAATATTTATTGAATCCATGCAAAGTGGTAAATACTTTGTAGTGAAATTGCACTTTACATAGATAATGTGGTTACTTTTCAAACTGGCACTAAATCAAACTGGCTAGATGATTACTTTCATAACGTCATTGCATTGGTATATGTGTTGCT